AAAAAAAAAAACAATTAGTAAAACAAAAAAAAATTTGTATTAAGAAATTATTGAAAATTTATAAAATAAAAGTACCCAAGTCTGGCAGCGCGCGTATAATTATGTCTATGTATTTACGTGTGTGAATGTGTAAATTAAGTGTGAACTATACAATGTATATATCGTGTACGTGTAATAATATATTAATTTTAGTTAGAAAATTCAAAATTCTTATTTTTATCCTGATTCCATTGTGTACATTTTTTCTCGTACATAAAAAATTGCAATATAGTGAGACCTGTGTGGAAGTTAATGAAAATCCAAACTAATTTCCATGAAAATTCCTGAAAAACAATTGGTGTTTGTAAATAAATCAACAAAGACACATATTCTTTTTACTTTTACTTATTGTTACTCCTTCATCTTTTGAAGCTTTTATTGTGATAATAAAAAGGCGCCACTCATCCTCCCTGCCTCTGTGTAACAATGTAAAAACAATTTTTTTTTTTTTTTTTTTTATTATTATTCATTTTATCATAATTTTTGAAGAGAGCACTGAATAATCACGAACTACATTACTCCTTAGTTTTTTAAACGTAATTTTAACTTCAAAATCCTGCTGCTGTATTTGGCAAAAATCGACTTCTCGGATATTATACATCTGGCTCTCGCTTGTGAACACCTACAGACATTCTCTCTCAGGAACGTTTTTATTCGTGATATTAATTTTTTTTTTGTTTCGTCCAACAAATTTTCCGTTACTTCGAATCATTTAACGCTATTATTATTCAATCGATGTATCTACAAAACTTTATGAAATATCGTATGTATATAATATAATAATAGCTCGTGCCCTCTTGCTGTGTGAAAGTTTTACCGATTTCGTTTTTTTTCTTTTTTTTTCAGGCTGTTTAAGTCGTTTGTTTTCTGTTTTTTTTTGTTTGTCGCTTTTTTACAGTGAACGGTTTTCGGCTCGATTGCGAGTAGGAATGCAGGAAGTAAGTATTCGGATGTACACGCAGTGTTTCGGTAAAAAAGTAACTACGCTTCGCTCGTCGTCCACAGAATTTTCGCTACGCTCGAGGTGTCAACAAATCCAAGCACTGGCACACAACAAACGACTGCTCGATGTTTGCATCATTCCTTCTTCTATTATTCGTACAATAGTTAATTTACTTTGTAATTTTACTTTTGAAATTAAAAAGTGCCTAAGCTTATATCTTATTCGACGTTTTAAAATTTACGTTTTACTCAGGATTCAATACCTTTTTACAACTAAAAAAAAAAAAAAGAAAATTTTAGTTATAAAGAGTAACATTAGTCGAATAATTTATTGAATCAACGAAAGATTAATTTAATCTAATTTTACTCAAGTGTGTATATCTGCGATAATTAAATTTTGTTTTTTTTTACGTGCCAAGCTGCATGACTTTCCGTCCACTCTTTGTTGATAGTACGTAAATCCTTGGGCTCATACAACTACATAAAAATATCAAAAAATCCACTCGAATCCAGAGTAAGCCGATCAAACCTTAAAACGAAGCCCGAGCTAGTCCGTCTTGCGAGCAATGTAAGTATATATATGTATTAACAATTGTTCTAATGTAAAACTGTTCGAGTCGAAAAGCAATTAAAACCGCATAGATAAGAACGTGTGCGCTCCGAAATGGTAGCGAGCTACTTTAATTTTTTTTGTTGCACGAACACTAGGTCATCGCCTAAAAACTTTTTCCTCGTCCAACCCGTCGCGTTTTCCCAGCAATTATCATCCCCTCTCTCAAGATTTGTACGCGCGTGTGTTTTTCGAACAATACTAATGATCGACTGTCTTATGGTGCTATTATTTTTATTATTATTTCTTTATTATTATTTTTTTTTTTTTAAATTTATTTGTGAATCTATTTTTTAAATCGTTTATCTACGTACGGTGCTCGTCGAGCTGTGATTATTTCACGTATCGACTACAGTTAAAATTCCTTCAGGGGACGAGGCTTTCGAATCTCGACGGTTGTGATCACGAGTCGTCAACGTTTTTATGTATAATATTACTGTATTTACACATGCTTTTGTTCTTTGCCAATTCATCTGTGACGTTAAGAAGTTCATTGATTACGTTTATTCGTTATTATTTGCTTGAACTGCTAACTAGAGCAAAGCTCGTTTATTTTTACCGAGTTATTTTATTTATTTACTTTTTTTAGCTTACTTATTGCGTATGATTTATTATTATTTATTGTATTTCATTGCAGCAGGTTTTTTCTTTATCGCAATCCTTACTGCTTATTTAAATTCTACCATGCATCTCTCGTATTATCGACCAGCTAATATTATTATTCATGAAAAAGTTATCGAAACTTCTTACAGAAGAAAAAAGTGGAAAAATTTATTTCTTAATCGTACGATAGTATAAAAACGCCGGATTCGAAGCATCAATTATCCCCGCAAAAATTTTAAATCATCGTCGACAATGACATACTTTTTGGTTTTTTTTTTAATTATTAATTTTTTTTTTTTTAATTTATTCATTTGCTAAATAAAGAAAATTCAGGAAACATGTTTCGATACTGAATTTTCCTTAATTTTTTTCGTTTTATCATACATATGTAATGTATACATGCATAAAAATCTAATAAGGCTGAAAGCTTATCAGCGATCAAGATTAAAAACTTCTCTCTTCCTCCCTCCACTCAAAATTCAATATTACGGTTGCAAATCACATTATACAGATTGAAAGTTAAAATTTATCGTGTGATGAAAAATTTGTTTTCTTATTTGTTTAAAAATGCAAAAATATTTTGATTGACGCTTAACAGTGTGCTTCATTTGTGATAGCAAAGTAATTAGGTTTACTTTAATCATTTGTTAAATACGTAACTTACTGATGTGATGCAAAATAATTGTGTAGTATTTTTTAATTTTACATTAAATTTGAATATAAATTCAATTGTCGAAATCAAAAATAATTATAATATCGCCATGTTATGTATGTACAATTTCTCTTGATGTCATTGTACATGACAAGATAACATTAAACATTTAGCTAAATTTAAATCAACTTAATAAATTTTTTAACGTGAATGAAATCTCATAACAAAAAAATTTTAACATGAAAATATTTTCCTGGATTGGATCCAAACAACTTATTAATACGATGATAAACGCGAGTATGATTGCAAAAAGATCAGGATAAATTCGCTCCGTCCAAAAATTACCTTAATTTTTTCTTGATAATGCTTTCTCAACCTTTATAAATATCTTTAGTTTTAAATATATCGAGTTAAAAAAGTGTTAACTAATGTGAGCAGACGGTTGTTTTTCATTAGAAATGCATAAGTGATTTTCTCACTCGTTCATCTATTTCTTAAATTTGTCTTTCTTATGACTCATACATATGGACTTATTTCTGTATTATTGTAATAGGATCGGATATTGTAAGCAGTATATAATAATGAATCAGTCGCGATTTACTTTTTCAGTTATAAGTTACGCTATATTATAAAAGTTAATTATTTGAGGAGAAATTTTTATTATTTTATTTAATAATTCAAAACAAATATGTTTTAATTTTTTTTAAATATTTTTTTGTAAAAGACTATCACTGGCTTTCTGCGCTCATACCTATAAATTTTTATTTTATGTGTTATTGGTGCAATTCGTAACAAACTACGATATTTCTCTATTTTTATAAATAGATTGAGAACAAAATTAAAATTTTCATATTTCCTAAATTCAAAAATAATAAACTAAATAAACTAAAAGCCAATTATATGTCAATTACAAAATATTATAAATTTTTATTATGACACATGTTACAATAGTTAATTTACTTTGTAATTTTACTTTTGAAATTAAAAAGTGCCTAAGCTTATATCTTATTCGACGTTTTAAAATTTACGTTTTACTCAGGATTCAATACCTTTTTACAACTAAAAAAAAAAAAAAGAAAATTTTA